GGGACGGGGCAGTGGTTTAGGTTGCAGCACGCTCCAGGCCTCCCCAGAGACAGGTGCGTGGAGCGAGTGCACAAGGCCCACGCACCACCCCGGGAGAAGCTGGGCCCCGGGATGCCGCCCAGGAAGGCGGAGGTCGATCCTGGAAAGCCCGACCCCGACCCTCCGGCTAGCTCGGTTTTCCCTCACGGTCTCCCCCTCGGCCCACCGCCCCGGCTTAGGCGCAGGCTCCCAGGTGCACTCCCGAGTCTCTTCGGCCCCAGGTCCGCGAAGCGACTGCAAACCCGACCCAGATCTGTCGCCCGCAGAGTTGGGGTCGGGGTCGGGAATCGGGGGACTCGGAGCGCGGAGCCCGCCCTTCTCCGTCCAGGAAGCCAAGAGGCGGAGACCATTGAGGCCGGACCGCGGCTCCGGAGGACGGCTCTGCTCCCGCTGGGCTGGGGTCCCGGGCGCCCGGGCGCAGCCATCTCCAGGAACCGGCTGCGCGGTGTAGACGCGGGCGCCGCTGGCGCCGCGCAGTAGCTGGCCGCGACTTTGGACGAGGAGAACGGGGAGCTCAGCCCGGGTCCCCAGGCCCCGCGCCCCGGCCCGGCCCGGCCCGGCGGTCTGGAGCCCTCGCCGGCCCGAGTCTGCGCCCGCGGCCGCCCGCCGTCCCGCGCCGCCAGGCCCGCCGGCTCGCTGGCCTCGCGAAGTTTCTTTCCCGCACGGGGACGGCGCCTGGCTGTTCCTCGTCCTCCCGCGCCCGCTTCGCGAGCTGCAGCGTCCAAGACTTGTTACACGGGTTTGATTCAAAACGTGATAAATTGTATTTAACGCTATTTGAAATTTTTAAACGAAATTATTCAAAAGATTTTTAATCCTGGATAATTTTTGTTGAAACTCTAATTATACATCACCTTAATTAGCAGCCCCAGCCCCCCAAGGATCCCTAATTGCCTCCTAATTGAATAAAACAGGGGGCTAATCGCGCCCACGGCGGCGCAGCGAGCTGGCGCGCCTCCCCCGAGGGGCCCGCTCTGGGGAACCCCCGGCCAGCCACACCGCCGGCACCTGGCCTCTCAACAGAAACGGGGGACCAGACTCTCTGCCCCGCGCTCTGCCCAGAAGGGGGACGCGTGGTGTGCGGGAGCCGCGGGGGCAGGCAGACTCGGGGAGGCCCGTCTCGCATCTGCTCTGCCCCCGCAGCCGACAGAAGGAGCAGGGCGCCCCGGGCCGGCTCGTCGGGATGTTGGGGACCCTAAGCCGCAGGCAGTGGCCATCCCGGGGACCCCGCTGGGAGGTCACTCCACCAACAGGACTTAGTAACCTCCCGTCCCACAGGCTCACCTGCCGGGCCGACGGCGACGCAGCGCCTGCGGGCGCTCAGCGCACCGCCGCGGGGCACCTGGCCTTGGCCGCCAGCCCTGCAGCCGCCCCCGCACCTCGGCCTCCGCGTTTTCGCCCGAAGCGGGCGAGCCGCCGACTCCCGCCGGACCTTTCCTAGCGCTGCTGCCCTACCAGGCGTCCAGACAGGAGGCTGCCGTCCTGGCTCCAGGGAGAGGACTGCGGGAAGGGGCAGCCTCCCCGGGGGGTGGGGGGAGGCCCAGCAGAGCCCGGGCCGGGCCTGTTTCGGCTGCGGAGAAGGAGCCGGCTGGCAGCTCAGCCGCAGGCGGCGCTCCCCCCACGCTGTCACAGGCACACCTTCCTCACACACATCACCCTGGAACGTACGCAAGACACGCAAAGTGCGACATCTAGCAGAGAGAGCGACCCCCACCCACCCCAGGGGCTACATGGCAGTTGTCTGGATGACACTATCCCCAGTCCTGGGATGTGTGGGGTCTGTCACTCCATGGGGATCAGGCCTCAGGGGCAGCTCAGATAAGGGCCCTGGCTGGACCCAGTGTCTCTTGGGGCACATCCACCCTGGCACAGGGGCCCCCCAGCTGTGCTGTAAAGAGGTCAAGAGGGCACCGTGTCTGTGCTGACCCCCCACCTGCCCACCTGGCTCACAACAGTGGCAGAAACACACAGCTCTTGTGAGGCATTTCATTTTTTAGCATGGGGCAGGGACAGCCGCGTTTCCCCACAGGCTAGCACTGCCCTCGCTGGGGGAAGGGGCCCCTGGACCAGATCTGTCCTCCCTCTGCCGGGGCTCCCAGGCTCAGGGTGAGGAGCTGGGGGACTCCCCAGCAGCTGAACTGCAGCCCAGGCCTGGGCGCCCCAATGGCCTCTGCCCTCGGAATGCTCCACTCTGAGCCCCCAGTGGGAGCACCACAGGTTCTACCAGCTCAGCCAGAGGCCTGCCCAGCAGGAGAGATCCCCGCTGAGTAAGCTCCTGGGTAAAACCAATGAATGACAGCCCAAGATACACCCTCTGGGGCAGCCCCCCACGCTCTGAGTCAGGGAGGCACATCCACTGACCTGGTCGTCCTTCCATGCCCGGCTGCAGACACAGCCCAGCCCTGCACACTGGCCTTGCAACCTTGACCTCTTTCCCTTCCCCAAGCCCCCTGACCCTGCTGGGCTGTGGCTTGGGGTGGGCTCTGCTGGCAGCATTGGGGCTGCCTTGCTGCCTCAAATTCAGGTAATGGAGTCAGGTCCCCAGGGACGTCCACATCTGCGTAAAATATCGTCCAATGAAATGAAATTCCTCAGCAGATCCTGGGCTCTGTGTCAGGCAGGCGGCCGCCGTCCTGTGCCTGCCTCGGCCACCTTCCTGGGGAGGGCTGGGGCAGGCGTCCCCGCTGTGGGGCCGGCGCAGGAGAGGTTCCCAGTGCTTCCTCGAGTGTGGGCTCCAGCTGGGTCTGGGCCTGACAGATGAGCTCTGTGTTGGCTTTTCGTCACGAAGGACTCCCAGGACAGGCAGACCTGCGCTCTGCCCTCCCCTTGAGTCCAGCTCTTCGGCCTTCAGGCCAGGCTGCAGGACGCTCCAGGCACCCGTTCTGGGTCCTGGGCAGAGCCCGGAATGGCAACCTTCCCCACCTGGCAGGGGTGGAGCAGATAAGAGCTGAGGGCTGGAGGGAGGGGTGGCCTGCCGGCTGTGGGCCGCTCAGAAGTTTCTGGGGCCTCCCTGGGCACACTGAGTTGGTCTCTCGCTTGCAGCGAAGGCCTGAGAAACCAAAGCTGCTTTCCACTCTCTTGCTCCAGCTTCGGGCACTTCCTCGGGGCGAGAGCCTGACCAGGGCAGCCTGCAGTCCCAGGCCCAGACTCTGGGAAGGCCTTGCAGCGCACACACAAACCCGAAGATGCACACGAACACGCACATCCCACGCGCCCCGGGCAGGCACGGTAGCACGCACAGGCCGCGGTGCCAGCCACGAAATGCGGGGCCTTGTTCGTACCAACAGGGGCCAGAGGTCAAGGGAGGCCGGGGAGGCCGAGGCCGTCAGCACCGGGCAGAGGAGACTGGCTGGGAAGGGGCGCCTCAAGGAGGGGCCCGGAACAGCGCCGGCGGAGTGCGGGGGCATCCTGCAGAAGCTGCGAGCTGCTTTTCCCCCGGCGGGCCTCCGCGCGGCCTACGACTGCGGGGCTGCTGTTGGGGGCCGAGCCGGGCCGAGCACCGAACCAAGAGAGCAGAACTTCGGAAAACTGTCGCGAGTTTCGAGCCCACCGTGCTAACGCTTAGGGGCTCGGCCGTGGGTGCTGTGAGGCCGGGCCGAGCAGGGTCAGGCCACGGAGGAGCAGACGGAACGGCCTGGTGGTCGGGCAGGGAATCCCAAGGGGAGCGGGCCGGTGACCCTTCCGCGGGTGGGCGGGTGGCCGGCGGAGAAGGGGGAGGCGAGAGCAGGAGGCGCCGATTCCGCCCCGCGCGGTGCTCGCCGCTTCGCTGCAGCCGGGCCGTGGCCGGGACTGCGGGAGCCGCGCTCGCCGGGCCGCGGCGCCGCCGTCCCCACCTGCCTGCCTTTCGGGCCACAGCCCCGGGCCCGCTGGCCTCGCAGCCGATGGCGCCGGCCGCAGGGGTGCGGAGGGCGCACGGCTGGCCCCAGGGCGCGGCGGCGGGCGGTGATGCGGGCGGTGGGCGCACCCGGCCGGCGGCGGGGACCGGGACGGCAGCAGGCTGGGCGCGCGGAGCCCGGGGCTCGGCCGGAGACTGAGCGAAAGAGAAAGTAAGACCGGGGACCGGGCAGTCTCGCCGGAGCAGCTCTGTCCCCACCGGGCCTCACGGCTGTGCCAGGAGAGCGGGTGCGGGACAGTCCGAACGGGGCCCGAGGGCGGCGGCGGGTCGGAAGGCGGCCCGGTGGGGACCCTCCTGCCAGAGGCACCGGCGCCTGGGCGGCCCGCGCGGGCTGCCGGAGTCACAGAGGAGCGCCCGCCGCCGCGCGGGGCACCAGTTGGGAATAAACTTCACGACCATAGTTCCAAGCCCGGGAAGACGTCTCCATTTTGCTCCCCCAGTGGCTGTGGCTGTCCTGCCGTCGCCACCCCTGCCCTTGCGCCCGCGGAGCCGGGTGGGCGCCGGCCCGCGCCCCCTCCTCCGCCCCCTCCCCGGCTCGGGGTCTCCCTCCTCTGCGCCCGGCTGGCGGACGCCAAAGGCGGTGCTCTAGCGCCCACTATTTCAAAAGCCCGGAATATGATTTGACCAGGACTGAGAGCCACTCGGAGAGAGAGAGGGAGAGAGCGAGCGAGGAGGAAAAAGTTGCTCTCCCCTTTCGTCAACTTTTCGCTAACTTTCGCTTTTCGCTCCCCTCCACCCCCAGCCCTCCCCCTCCGCCCCCCTCCCTGGCCCCCACCGCGCGCCTCGGGTTCCCGGGCCCGAGCGCCTGACAAGGGGGGGGAGGGGGTTCGGCGAGGAGGGGGCCGGCGCCTTCGGGGAGCGCGCGGCCCGGGCGCCCCGAGCCTCCGCGCCGAGCCCGGCCGCCCCGGAGCGCGGGAGGAGGAGCGGCCCCCGGGCCGCGCGGCCGATCCGGGGGCCGGGAGCCTGAGGCGCGCCGGCCGCGCCCCGACGCGCACCCCTGGCCCGGGCGCCCCGGCCCCGCGGCCCGGGCCCGGCGGCGCGGCGCGGCCGAGCGCGGGAGACTTACTTTTGGCTAGCTTCCTCGCCCTCGCCTTGGATCGCATGGTGTCGGCTCGCGGAATCTCTCTCCTCCTCCTTGAGTCCAGAAGCAGCTACACACTATCTTCATCTCCCCAGCATTGTCAGTTTGGACACCTTCGCACATGCGCACAGAGCACTCAATCTGACACCCCTCGCCGGGGCCAAAAAAACTTTGCAATGTATTCATCATCCTCATCGTCGCGCCGCCGCCGCCGCCGCCGCCGCCTCGGCGCGGGATTGGGGGGCTCTCCTCTGCCTTCCCGGTCTTCCCCTCACTTATCTCTCCCCCCGCCCCCTCCCCCCCCCTCGCAGCGTAGCTCGGAACTGGCCCTTTAAGAAAACATTCCGTGCTCCGCGCTCCCGCCCGGGGCCCGCACCCCGGACACTTTAAAAGGACCCAGGTGGCCCCGGAGGCGAGATGACTGTCCCCCCCACCCTTCCCCTGGTCGCGTCGCTCTGCTGCTCCCGCCCCAGCCTGGGCCGAAGATGGAGTGGCGGCTGCGTTTGTCCTCGCGACTTCCTTGGATGTGGGGGCAAACGCGCCGACAGTTCCGACGAGGATCTGGCTGGTTTTGCTTCGTTTTATTGCATTTTATTACTAATTAAAAAGCTTTGCGTTCACCGTCGCCCCAGCCCGCTTTTCTCCCTGTCTCTCCCCTCGGCCCCCGCCCCCAGCCCGCGATCGCCCGAGGGGGTGTCCGGGCCCGCGCGCCCAACCCGGCTCCTCCGAAGCCCCCTCCGGGCCCCGCCGCCCCCCGCGGGCCTCCCCGGCCCCCGCCCCCTCCCCTTCGCCCCCACCCAACCGCTGCTGCTTCGGGCTTCGCGGCTCAAAACAACAGCGGCGGCGCCGCCAGCTCCGCGCTCCGCCACTGCCCCGGCGGGCGAGCGGGCGGGACTCGGACCCGCCGCTCTCGGTCCCGCGCAGAGCCGCGGGGAGCAGCGCACCGGGCACAGGGGAGGCAGCGCGGGGTCAGCCGTCCGAACACCGGGGGCCCCGCACTTCGCCGCCCTGGGGGCGGGCCCACGCACTCCTGCCTCCGGGGCCCCCAGGTGAGTACCCAGTGGCGCAAGCGCCCGAGCTGGGCCACCTCTGGGGACCCGGGCCTCTGGGGACACTTCCCCCTCGCCTCTCGCGGCCCAGGTGCGTCACGGGCGGGAGGGCCGGCGGAGCAGGTGGAGAAGCGGAGGCAGGAGCCCGCCGCGGGCCTCTTCTCAAACTCGCAGGCGGGCAGCGGAGGGCCCCGCTGGGCGCAGGCAGGGTGTCCAGGCCCAGGGGCCTGGTGAGGACACTGAGAATTCCTCATTTGAGTATGTGTGGGATTCGAGAAAGAATTGGAAGCAAACGCAGGCGCTGAACCCCGCGCCCTTTCCAGCACCAGGGTTCTGCCGGGCTGCAGGACTCGGAGCTGCCGCTGAGTCAACCTGAGCTGGAGAGGGTCGTGTTCGCGGTGCGGAGTCTCTGCAGCCCCGGCTGGGCTCCTGGCCATGCCCCCGCCCCCCCCCCCCCCCCCAGGCCCCTTTGTTGTGCAGTGAGACCGGTAGCGCCTCCGCCGGAACCTTCATTCGAACCCCGCGCCCTTGCCACAAAAGAGGTGAACCGGCCAGGGCCGAGGAGCCAACCCCGACACCGCAGGGTCCTAGCAGAGGCACCCCCGATGGCGAGGGGCGCACGGCCAACGCCATCCCCGAAGAGAAGCCGGGAGGAGCCGGGCTCGGCAGGCAGGAGCCGGCGGCGGCGGTGCGCTGGGCCTTCCGCCTTCGCGCCTCCGCATTCTGCAGCCGCTTCCCCGCTGGGATTCGAACCCGGACAGAGCCCCCACTGCTCGGGGCGACAAGTCTCGCGTTCCTCTCGCCTCCCCACAGAGAAGGTGCTCTCTGCCGGCTCTGATTCTCACTGACCGCTGCCTCTGCTGTTTCCGGCCCTAGGTGAGTGTTGCCCGCGGCAGCGCCTCGCGCACCAGCAGCTCAGTCTCATTGCCACCGTCCTTCAGAGAGCCGGTCGCCCCCGCCCTCACCCTGACTGTCTTTTCCTGCGGGCTGGGCAGAGGGTCCCTGGGCCTTGCTGCCAGACTGTGGGGTCTCAATAGGGAATCCTCATGGGGGAGTAGGGTATTGCTGCAGGCCCCAGCAGGCTCAGAACCCACTGACGGGTGGTGGGGGAGGAGGTCCCTGGTAGAGGAAAGAGGGGAGCTGGGCCCCCCCCCCCACTCTGGAGCTGTGCCTCCTAACCTAGCCAAGGCAGGCTGCAGCTGGTGGGCTGAACCTGGCTGGGGCCACCGCCAGAAAGAACACAAGGTCACCCCAGGGCCCCCTTGCCCGGAGCCTACCAGGGGCTGAGTATGGGGCTGAGGAGAACAGTGGCACCTGTGAAGCACTCCCACCTGCAGACAGGGTCCCTTCCCCACCCCCAGCCCAGCCCAGCACTCTTCCCTGCCCGCCTGCCCAGGAGGCAGCCCGCAGGCCCCAAGGTGGGGGAGGCACAGCCTTCTCCTAGGGGCGCCCCAGCTCACTCAGGCCCTCTCCCTGCTCCCTCCCTCAGCTCAGGAGGCAATAAAACCCTCCAGCCCTGGCCAGGCTGGGCCAGGACACCCTCCTGATTCTGGGGCTGTGCCCTTGCCAGGGTCTGGGGAAGGAGGGCTGGAGGCCTGGGAAGAAGGCCTAGGCCCCGGGGAGGTGGAGGGTGCTGCTGCTTAGGATCTGTCTGTGGAGGGGGAGGAGGGGTCCGGAGGAGCAGCCCAGGAGCCACACCCCCAGGCGCTGCAGCAGCGGAGGCCAGCCAGCGCGATCAGCTCGAGGAGTGTAAGCAGACTGTCCCCAAGGCCATGGCCCTGGCCGAGGTTGGGTCCTGGCCCGGCCAGGCCCTGCCCCCGCGTGGCCAGACTTAGAACAAATTGGAGAGCAGGTCAGGCATTGTGGAGTCCCAAGGAGAGAGTGAATGAGCAAGGACAATCAGACTGCCGTCCTCCTGGGCACCCAGCCCCGTGTCCTGCCCCACAGACATTTGGGGACTCTGGAGTGGAGGTATGGGAAAAGGAGCAGTTTTCATTGCATTGATACTCAAAGGTTTAAGGGCAGTTTTCAAACTGAGCCAAGCTCTGGGGAATCTTGTGGTCGATGCCGGGCCTGGGGGACCCCGCACTGGGAGGTGGAAATGCTACCCACCCCATCCCGGTGACCTCCTTGGCTTCTAACTCTGTCAGACTGTCAGAGGCTGGTGAGGTGCGGGTTGGCTGCGTGGACGTGCCCTACACTCTATCGAGTTTTGGAACTGAGTTCATTGCTGCAATCTAGGGGGCCGAGAAAAAGGACTTTTACCACCAACTTCCGCTGCATTCTGGAGCCCCGATTCAGCCCCCGGAGCTCTGCCCTCTCCCAGCCTTTCCACCAAGCAGAGAGAGGCAGCCGGAGACCCATGATCAGATGAACTCTTTTGGGAGTGGGCGGGTTTGGGAGAGCGAGCAAAGCTGGTCCTACAGTGCTGTAAGAAGCATTGTGTGGGGTGAGCAGGGAGGGGTCCCCGACTCCGAGGCTCCCCGAGAAGCCACGAGCAGTAAAACCACACTGGGTCTCATGGTGCTCTCCTGAGTCCACTCACTCCAGGGCTGAAGGGTCCCTTTGCTCAGCCAGGACCGGTGCCCCATGCCACCTCTCAGAGGCCAGGCCTCCGGAGAGGAGGTCTGTGTGCCTGGAGTGCAGGGTCCGAGCTGCCAAGCCGCCCTGCCCAGGCCCTCAGGTGCCAGGCAGCCTGGCTTCGGACTGCCCAATGGGAGGTGGGAACGCGCTGGTGATGGATGGCCACATGCGCCAACCTGGCCAGGTTCTCTGCTCGGCTCTGAGCTCCTTAAACTTGGCCAAGGGCTTTCAGGCACCCAGTGTCTGGGCTCCATCAGATTCCATGTCGAGCTTTGCTCACCCTCTGGTTCCTGCTCAGAAAAACTCTGAATAGTTAAGAGAAAAAAAGCAAGTCTCCTTTAATTTACATATGGGCTTTCCTCTGAGATCCGGAACTGTCCCCCGGAGGTTCCAGACCATCATCCCACCCTCAACTGGGGCCACTGAATCAGATGGAGCCGGGGGTCTCCCTCCCTGGGCACATTCTCCTGCCCTACTCTAGATGGACATGACTCCCAGGTTTGAGTGACAGAAAGCTGAAGACTATGAGGGATGCTTGGGGACAAGCCAGTTTGGTTCCCACCACACAGAGGAAAAAACGGAGGTGGTCTTGGCGCCAGTAGGGCCTGAATGAAGAGGGCTTCCAGCCCGGGGCAAAGAGCTAGCTTGAGCATTTGGTCTAGAATGGGGGTGGTTGGGGCACAGAAAATCTACTACACAACCTACACAATGGCCCTACAGGGGCCATTTCCTCCCCATGGAGCCTCCACACTGGCCCACAGCTGGCGCTTCCCCCAGCACGGAGCCTCAGCTCCAGACTGGGGCCGCAGGAGCCTCCCTGGACTCTGGAGTTACTATTTCAGGCCCCTTTTTGCCCCTCTTCTTACCCAACGCCCAGGGAAGCTCACTGTGACCCAGGTAACTTTAGAGGACAGAAGAACACACATCCCAACTTCTGGCCAGGGAGTTCAGAGCCAGCCGTGTGGCATGGCTGCTCCCTGTGCTGTCAGAGTGGAGGCCTCCTGGCGCCAGCCCCGGTCCCTGGTTTTGGAGTGGGTCCCCGAGAGGGTTGGGGACGCTCCCAACCAAGACTTCCCAGGAATGTGAACCATGTAGCCGATTTTGAACAAAGCCCAGATGTTTGGAAATCTACTTCCTTCACGGGCAGGAGGACGTTGTCCCTTGCAGACCGGCAGCCCCCTGGGAGGCCCCGGAGAGCTTTCTCTGCCTGTTTACACCCTGGAGTCCTGGCTGAGGGGACCATCTCTCAGAAGCTCAGATGCATCTCCTCTCCACACCTATGGTCTGCCACGTGCATTAGGGGAGAAATTGGGTTTTGTTTTGTTTGTTTGTTTGTTTTTAATTTAAGAGATTGAGGCTGTGGACCTGAATTCCCCTTTTGAGCCCAGGAGGGAGTTGGCCCCAGGATCCTGGCCCAAACCCTCTCTAAGAAGTGCAGGGAGCCTGGAACGACTCCTTCCCCAGCGCGGGGCGCACTGTCGGGGAGGACCAAGCCCAGGGCTCCTGCAACTGCTCGAGACCCCGGCTGCTGCCGCGGGGGAGCGATAAACGGAATCGGTTTCCCACGCTTTCCCTCTCCGTCCCAGAACCTTTAAAAATCCGCCGACGATTCCGGTTGTCCGGTTTGCGCTGAGTCTGAGCCCTGAGCTCATGCTGCCCCCCGAGTCGCCAGCAACGCCTGGAGCGGGGGACCCTCGGGCCGCCCGCGCGCACGCGGGGAGCAACTTCGTTCCCGCGACCGCCCTGCGGAGCCGGCAGAGCTTCGCGCGGCCGAGGTGGTCCTGTGGCTCCTCCGGAACACGGCCGGCGTGGACGCGGCTATCGTTTCTTGCTCCGGGTTCCGGCCGCGCGCAGACACGGCCCTGGCAACAACGAAAACGGCGAGCCGCGTCGCTTTCCCGGCGGCTGAGTCCCGGGAGCCGCCGGGTGGGAGCCCGCCCCCGCGTCCCCAAACACCTCAGACCCGAGGACACTGGCCGGCCGCCTGGTAACCGAGCCGACTCCCCCAATC